ACTCAAGCCCTAGAAGGGAGCTTCAGAAATTCTGCCGAGGATATCTTTGGGGACCGCCCCCACCCAGTTATATACCATGACAATACTTCTCCACAAACAGCCAACAGAACAGAAGACTGGTCATTTGCCCCATGCATATTCGTGTCGGGTGCGATCGTCAATTCACACACTACTGCACAAAATACTAAAACTTTGATTTTTGCTATGGTCAGTTTATCCTCAGTTTTCAATTACTGAAATTTTGTTTAACTAAATCCGTCTTGAATTGGAAATAAAAATCATTGGTTTATGAATCGTTTTTTCTGCATCATTTAACGCATCTCAGTTTAGGTGACCCCTTTTATAAATGGGGAGTATAAATAGAAAAGGTGATAGCCTGAATAAAATTGAAAAAGTTGTTATTTTAATCTGACACGATAGAAGAATTAATTAAACACTCGTTTGCATTTTATTCTTAGTATATTGGTTCTTAGTTGCAGTTAAATATATATTCCATTTTGCTTGACAAAAAGCTAATATTTAAATCGGTAATATTTGCGCCTACCTTAATAAACTTCTGTTGGTCTACAATCTACCACGTCTTTCTTCCTGGAGCCCTATCGATTTACTGAAGATAAAAATTTGTATCCAGCCAGATGGTGTGTACCTCTGCCACATGCATTAAATTAGGTCATACAGATAACATTTTCTTAAGAAGTCAAAAATACTTGTTTATCTTATCTCGATTCGTGCAGCTGTTTGTGTCTTGTTACATCGGGATCGCGACCACCTTGAAAAAAAAGTAATCCCATGGTCACAAATAAAGATTTTAAAGAAAAGAAAAATTGAAAAAAGTTAAATTTATGAACCCCATATGACTGAAATATTAGTTTGATGTTGACTATCATCCGAGTGTAATATTCATTATCGTTAATCATAATTAGCTAAGATAGCTGTTTAGGTAAAAAAGACCTAGTAAAGAATTTTCTTGATGTATTTTTGATGTAGCAGCATTAATTTTCTTAAAAATAACAATGTTTATTTACTCATTTGGGTTTAAGAAAAAAATCCCGTAGATTTTGCTGGGTCAGGTAGTCTGTTCAGTTGAAATTTTATCTGTATGGCACGTCGCAACTGTCCATATCGTTGTGGGGTTCGACGTGACATTGCTGTCTTATCTCCCAAACACATCTTAGACTAGATAAACCAACAAGTAAACTAATATTTTCAGATATGCGGAAATGCTACAATGCACATGTACATGAAAAGTGTTTCACACCATACTTTGCCATCTCACGCGTCTCACGCGTCAGTGTTTGAATTCCGAAGCAAAGCAAATAAGATGCATCCTCTTAAGCAGACATAAATTGGGACACACCCGTCGTTTCACAATGTACCTATTGAGGACATGGACCTAGTTCACAGTGTATGGAAAGATTTGTAGGTCAGTTTAGGGACCTAGATTTAAAAACGCTTAGTGTGGTCACTTTTCATATTTTTCGTCTCAGCCCAAAGGCCATGAACCACAAGTATATGTCAATGTCACTAAATGTATAAATACCTTAAAGCCACATCCCACCATTTCTTTTCAAGTTACACGATATCAAATGAAATGTATTGCGTACCAACGGCGTGCCGAGCCAACGGCATCTTAAAACAGGACTGCCTTTAATTAAATTACGGTAAGGTCTCCTATAAATGTTCACCTGGGGTCATGCAGTTTTCTGATTGGTACCTGTCCCCAAAGTCCGACTAGAGTTAATAAACGTAACCTACGATAACCTAACATAAACTGCGATAACGTACAGCAGATATTAGTCAACATTAGTCTTTATGTGTAAACATCTTTTCAATTTCCTCGTTTTTCGGGTGATTTATCATTTGAGATTTTACCCAATATCAATGGTAATTTTGATTAATTTTGGAGACATATATTTCAACGTGTGGATGCAACGCAAGGTCGTAATCAGGACATCACGTATTAATCGCATGAAACCAAATCAGTAATTAAGGAAGGGTGCCGCTGTTGTGACATTTGAGTATTGGCAGTTACGTCTTAGCTGTCATGTTTTAATACTTCTAAGAACATTAATGATTCAGTTTTGTTATCTTATTCTGAAATACCAAGGTTTCATGTTGGTAATGGGATGCAAAGTACCTTTTAGGATTAATTGATTTAATATAGTACTTGATATATTTTCCTATCCCCAATGATCTAAGACTAGCATATTTACCACGAAGGTTATTTTACCAAAGTTCTGCTGACACGGAATAAAAAAGTCGTTGTGGAATATGTGATATGATTCAGATATACACGACGGTAATGATACACTAATAGGCGAATAAAGTTGTTACTTCCGCCAATGAGTTATGTTTTCACCCCTGTTTGTTCGTTTGTTTGTTTCTTTGTCTGCCTGTCTGTCTGTCCTCAACATAACTCAAAAAGTTATGGACTGATTTTGATGAAAATTTCAGGAACTGTCAGAAGTGGGCCAAGGAACAGATGATTAGCTTTTGGTAGTGGTCCGGATCAATAATCAATCAATAATCAATAATTAAAAATATCGAAAATTTAGGGGTGAAACGGCATTGGATAAAGACTTTGCTGCCTTGGCGGAAGTCTGCGCTCAATGAGTGGTTTTCTAGTTTTGCAAAGTTATTAGTAGCGTGGATGTCCATATGCGTCTCTGGTCTTCGGATAGGTCCATCTCTTCAGATTTTATTAAAATGAAAATCTGCACAAACAACAAATTGTCATTTGTCCTAAATCTGTAAAACCATCACATACCATCACAGTATACTGTATTTGTTTTAGCCGTACTACGAACTTCCGTCATTCTTGTATCTTTTCACAGATCCAGGGCTTCAAAGCACGAACATTTATCTCCTCAGTGCTTGTCAACCTATCAAGGTGAAGTGCTTGGTGTGGTTATTAATTGCAATATTTACATCAACCTCATGTGATACGAAGAGTACCGTATTGCGCTTGGTTCACAAATGCTGTGGAACATGTCTCTGCTATTTTTTGACAAATTCTACACGCATGCCGGATTCGCCCCAACTCATATTTCAGAAACATGCCCTTTATATTGTACATGTGCATATAACCCCAGCACTCCCTTCAAAGTTAGGTAACAAAGAAATAAACTTGACCTGCTGATGGAGAAACTTAGATAGAGAAAAGATTACATGTATGTACGTATGTCAATTGTGTTCATGATCAACTTAATATTACCGTAGATAACCAAAGACATACATTTAAGTAGAAACATTTAATCATTGCTGCGATGGAATGTCTGTTCGATGGCCTTTGACTTTAAAGATTTAATACAATTCAATTTTAATCTATAACAAGTTGACTTCTTCTCATATCGCTGCTTGAGGTGAGTTTGCTGTCTCATTGGGCAAACACACATTAGTGTTCTTATCACAGATAATAGAAACAAATAACGTAAACTGTAAGTTAAAACCCAGCAGCTATGTGCTACTGCAGCATTATCACAGAGTAAAATGATTTAGATAGAATACCGTATTGATATTAATACATGTTTCACTGCATTTGAGTTAATTTTTCTAGCAGTCTTTAGATATTTCATATTTGCTATAACTTAATTAAATTAAACGATGATTAAATGGAACGTATTTATTCTGTAAACGGTATTATCACGAAGGGAATATATGACAAATATCACTGAATATCTGAATGCTTTTTTTCAAAAAAATTAAAATTCAATCATTGTTTTGTTTTTTTTCTTTAAGATATACGCTGGAAAATGAACGATAGTAGAGATGATCATGAATATTTGGCTTATTAAAGCGGGATTACCTCCGTAATACATACTTTAAGAAAATGAATAAATAGCAATTAAAAGAAAACTATAATCTCCGATTTTCTTTGTGTAGTAAATAACGTCATGTCACTAGAATTAAACAATATGAGTGACAACTGCCCCCGTCACCCGTGTTAGTATGTCACCAGAGCTAAAGAATATGAGAGACAGCTGGCCCCCTCTGTGCCCCATTAAAATGTTTGTGATAGATGTCCATTGGTCAAGGTCAGTACAGTCCACTACCTCGTGGCTGATGAAGAGAGCTCGGTCTGGGATATACCTGAGGCCTTTTGATAGAATACTGGAAAACAAACAAACAAACAAACAAACAAACAAACAGAACATAACAAAAATGATGATTATCTTGTAAGGAAAATGGTTAACATGTAATGTTACCGGCAAAACGCGTTGCCGGGTGCTAAGCTGATTTTAATAAGTCGTCACATGTTTGATATTACTTTTCCCATCAAAACTGAAAAATTTGATGTGCCCAGGCTAAACTGGATAACATTTATGAACTAATTGTGATGTACCCTTGTCTAGCGTCTTACTAAAAGTGCCAATTAAACTTCTACAATATAACTTCTTCAATATGAGTAATAACAACACGCCCTCTATGAACTAGAGTACAGAGAACGATTTATTGCATTGATTCTCCTTATCTGGATGTTGTTCTCAGCTCTATAATCATCAGTTAGGCTCAGTTACAATGTATACTATGTAAGGTGTCACCGATAAGCCGCCCATGGGAGCATTCACATCGAAAAGAGCCGAGGTCTAGTAAGGCCGAGACCTAAATATGGCGGACCTACATGAAAGGAAGACCGCTAATCCTGTAATGTTCTCTCCACCTCTCACACGCCTCCCCACGCGTCGTCCCTGCAGGGGCACAGTAATTAAATCTCGACTCAATTCAACTAGCCGAGGGACAACGCGTGGGGAGGCGGAGAGACCATTACAGGATTAGCGGTCTTCCTTTCATGTAGGTCCGCCATATTTAGGTCTCGCCCTTACAAGACCTATTTTCGATGTGAATGCTCCCTATGAGAAAAGATTGCTTAACGTTAAGTTGACTTATCCAAATTGACACTCGACAGTGTTCTTCAGTGCATTTTCAGTGAAAAGCTTATCTCATCAAACGCAATGCTACTTTATTCACGTATACAGCTCGAGCTAATACTTACATCAGCCTTCGGGTCGATGTGATCAAGTTTGACTTGGAATGCCAAACTGTGCCGAGGATCATATATGTTATTGTCTTCACCGTGCTGATACACCTGAAAGAAAAAAAAAAAAAAAAAAAACAAGAGACCAAGTCCGTCACAGCATCTACCTCTAAACGATATATAAGACAAGACTTTATTGCAAACTCTGCTGTCTTTGTTGTCAGTGCATTAATACAAAACATTGAGATTTTTTATGGCGGATGCAGTTGGACCGCAGCCATTGCTTGGAACATCAAATGTTCACATTTGTACTCACAAAAGTCATGCTGCGGCTCTCAAAAAAAAATAATACATTCACAGAAATACAAAAAAATGTAATGTATTTAGTATAATGTGTTTAGTGTGCGACTAAGGGAGTCCGATACAAACAGTTTTTTTTTAACATAAGACGAGACCCAAGAATGATGCAACGTGAATTAAACTTTAGATATTTTGTTCTAGACGATGTGGAATGGTGCTTAAAGAGATTGCTAAATAAGACCATGATATTAAATAATTGTCAGAGTAAAACTGAAGGATTTTAGACCACATTTTTAATCAAAACACGCCGATAAGACGCGATCAAGTAGAATAAATATCCACCCCTGTATTTGTAAAAAAACTCAAAAACTGAGACGATAAATAAACGTATCGTCAGTACGATAAACCCGATGAAAATGTTATAATGCTCATGGAAATTTTAGATATACCTTATTATCATACACGTGTTCGCCCCTGTGTAGCTTCTGGCTACCTGTGTCGGATGAAGTATCAGAGGCAGTATCGTTGTGTGAACCCTTCTTATTAGATAGTAGATCATGATATCTGAAATATGGAAAGAATTTCTTTCACTTTAAGTTTTGTTTTGACGGCGGGATTGGAATTAGACGGCATACGTTAACTTGATGTTTGGCTATGCTTTTTAGTTTTGATTTCTATGTTCAATTATTTCTTTCCGCATTTATTTTAATATCATTTTGCATTTAAACGAAAAAACTACAATACAGTCCACCCAATCAGACTTCTGCATTGTACATCAATCAACTTATGAATTTGAAAGTGAGTCTAAGAACCAACACTACTGTGACCCTGAAAAGCAGATGATTTCCGCTCCCCCAAATACTTTAGGAATCCTAATAACGCTGAAATTATTAATCTTGCTCACTTACTCGCTCCGTTTCGCTACATTCCAATACCGTCGTCTCCAAATCACAACTAACACAATCGTGATTGCGACGACTATCAGCAGCGCCCCGCCCACAGAGGTGGTGATGTAGATAACTATGTCCAGTTTAACAGCTGCGCTGGACACCGTGCAGTTGACACCAGAATAGGTTATCGTTTGCGTGGCTGTTTCATCAGTGTTACATCTGTAAACAGAATATTTTCAACAAAATATAAATGTAATAATGAGACCTCTATTTTCTATTCTAATTCTGTGCGATATCTATCAGTACAATCCTTTCTTTCATGCAAATTTTTTTATTGCGATACTTCTCGTATTACGGAGGCGTTTGTAGGTCACAATACCACAGGAACATCACAACACCACACACGAAACTCACAATTTGCTACTCCTTTAACATTTTAATAGTCCTTAATATTCTCCAAGACACTGCTAAATACCTGAACCAAAAGCAAACGCTGAATTTTATGGTATATTTTTTAGCAACTGTGTTTGATTTAAGTTCGGATTTATCATTAATTATTTCTAAATTTAACAAGACTATAAAAATTAACTAAAGCAATGTTAAAGAAGATAATTGAAAGGCAAACTCAGTGACGCTGTGCTGTGGTTGAAAACTGTGAAAATGTGGTGGATCAAAAGTACAAAGCAAATGTGTAATGACCCAGGGACCAGTCGTATTGATTGTAGTCATTTTCTGATGAACCGCCATTTTATTTTAGTTTCATTACCTATTTTATTGTAACATTTTTTAAAATGCTATTTTTATTTTTGTAGGGGAAGGGACGTTTGAAGGATTCGTGCCTCGAATATATATATTTAACTTTCAGGTTGCGCTCTTGAGTGAGGCCGCAATATCCAGTCACTGACCCCAAATAAAAGCAGGGAATAACGAACATACCATCGTATCTTGATAACGTATAGTTTATGTACGCTGTTATTGCTTCTGTATATCATGTGTAAACACAGGGTTGTATAAACGCCTCTTCAAATCTCGAAATCTAATCTTATGTGCAATCTATTTGTTTGTTTTTATTTTTTATATTTTGATTTTTTTCTCGAGTACATTTTATGAAGCGTCTTCATTTAGGTGAATAGTAAAGTTTGGTGGCGTTTTAAGTGTATCATTTCACCTGATTCTAATTTCATTTTGTTTCATGTGTACCTATTGCAAGGCTGACACTTGCACGACTTTGGCCCCGATTTTGTCGTGGCAAGTCGTGCCATTTTGGGGCACGAAGTGGGAGGCTCCCGCACTGTTGATCCATTGCCGTACAGTGCCAAATCTACACTTCTATCCTTATTACACACAATGGACAATAGAAGTGTCACCCCTACTAAACCAATACTTTGGGGGAGATAAATGATTGTGGAATGATATGCTCCTGGTATCATTTTATTAACATCAATTTAAAAAATAAATAAATAATAAAAATATATAAAAACTAAAAACACAAAATGTAGACCGGGCATTATAACTACTCAAGATCTGCCTATTTGATTATTGATTACTTGATTAATATTTGATTACTCTGATTCAGGAGGTGACACCTCTATTGTCCATTGTGTGTAGTATATGGTGTGTACTAAATACCTTTATATCAACTGACAAAATCAAACGGAATTGACTATATTGGACTTACGTGCAATTCGGAATAAATGAAGGAGGATTAACATAACAAGTTCCGTGGTCATTGCACGTCCACCCTTTACACTTGGAGACACACTCCACTCTGTTGTTATTCCATCTTATCTCACACGTGTATGTACGTGATTTGGTCTTCTCGGCGCATACGTCTACATCATCGTACAGTATGCACGGGTTCTGCAATACTCCCTCTGGAATAATATGACGGTACAGGGATATGGCGACTTTAAAAAATCTGATTGCTAGAGGAATACATGGTATCAGGAAGACCGGCTATACATGATTATCAAACTGGGTAGCCTACACGTACATGCAAGCTTGGTCCTCCCAACACGCAGATGAAATAAAGAGTGCTAGATAAAAGAAATCGTTACTTTAGAGTTTGAAAAGTGATTAACGAAGTTTGTGTTTTCTATGAAAGTTGTCGCTTTTATATATATTATATATAAACGATTTATTTACTTTTTCATTTTGTTATTTATGCACCAATCTACTGTACCATATTTGAAACACGCTTCCTTGAATTTCATTTGAAAATGAAAACGTATATTAAAGAACATGACCGTTATCACGCGTTTTATATTATAAGATATAAAATGCTATTCAAAGCAATATACCTTGTAAAGTAACCTTAGTATGGAAAAGTATAAAGATAAGGGAACCGGTAATACCCCCTTTACACTGGACGGCGTCCTTTCTGCGTCCTCTCTGCGACCATGAAATTTGACATCGCTGTGGTCTTAATAAGGAGGCACGAGCATTAATTTTGTATCAGAATGAATGCTCAATGATCGGCCAGTTGTCGGCACGTAAAATATTTTAATTTTTAAACTCTCAAATGGGGCCGTACTGCTGGACGCAGAAAAGACGCCGTCCAGTGTAAAGGGGGCTTAACCGAAGTAAGAAAACATACTGTACACTAACTGGCATGTTATTTTCATTTTACGATGGGGATAAACGGGTGTGGCTAATAAACTACCAGTTCACGGGCCAACATAATTTACACATATTTACACTGACTTACCTAACTTCGTCAATTCACCAAGGGCGTACGTTTGGTTGGAAGTATAGTTCGTTGCATTCACCTTAAGTGTTTTACTTCTGCTAAGAACGTTTCTGATTTCGTTAAGTGTCTCGTTAGAATACTCAGAATTATTCAGGAAAGTCTTTAGGTCGAAAATGAGGTTGAAGTCAATGATGATACTTCCTTCCCTGGAAAATAAATGCTAAATTATACGCTAGGCAATACCTATATGGCCGTTATACACGTATTTACAATCACTAGCACTTTTAGCTAATACATTGTAGTATGCGTGCCTGGCTAGACACAAACGACAATTAACATAACGACAAACGACAAACGACAAACATAACGACAAACGACATATAACACAGCACTCAATACAGATCGAGTCACCAAGTTAGACATCCCTTTCAGCAGTGCCGATATATCTGATTTCACATGATTCATTTAAAATGTAAGCCACATGAAAAGAGTTTCTGAGGTCTTATTAAAGTAAAAATTAAATTAAAGATAACTGATACCTGCACTGTATTAATAGAGCATACCTGATAGCTGTTATGTCAACTCTTTGTAGACCGCCGAGACTAGCATTAAACATAACGAACAACTGAAAAACAAACAATTCCATTCCCGTCATGGCGTAGACGCCATCTCAAGATCACACAGACTTCAGTTAAGTGTTTTGTTAATTATAATTGGCACAAAGGGACATTTAATTAAATTTATTAAGCGACATCACAGAGGGGCGGGAGTCACAATCAGTGGTTGAATTAACATGTGTAAGTTGAAAGTAAAGCACGTGAAAAAGGAGCATATCAAACACCAAGAAATCAGATCAAACGTTATTTGGCATTCCACGGTGTAAGCATGGAGGCAGTGTGGTTGGCCCTATATTGACCATATACACGTGTTTGTTCCGGCCCTTATATCATATTTCAAGACTACCTGCCGTAAGATCCTTTTAAGTTGCATTGTATACAATAACACATTACCAACTTTTATATAAGTGTCATAAATATGACGTCACAATTGTAAAAACGTAAAAAAGTATTGGTATAAAGAGCAAAATTAATATCCATGCATCACTTTCGGTGCTCAAAACTTTTAATTGCAGCGTGAAGATAAGTAATGTCTTTTGCAACTCTTCGTTGGAGTAAATCTTACTAGCACCCACAATTTTCGCAAAACTATTTTAAAAATACCAGTCTAAAAGTTTTTCATACAAGGAGGGAGCATCTCCAACTGAATTGACCGAGAGCAGATTCGTAAAAAACTTAACCAGTGCATGGCGTTTCCGTGCATACCCGTTTCATATTACTCTAGTCCCGTCATAGAAACATCCATGTACCAGATATTGAACATCTAGGTTGTTAAAAATTTTCTATAAGAAAATCTTTTCTAAAACTTAAATAAACTCCCAGCTCTATATTTAGATTGTGTAACAATTACATGTACATATGTTTTCAAAACATTAAAAAGGAATCAATGGTCTACGCTACCTGCAATGCTATATCTCCTTTGTTGCTTTCAAATTCGTCTTTTTCTTTTAAAAAGTTTGAGACATTAAACTCGAATGAAAGCGGAACTAGTTTCTCAAGGCTTTCGAGGAATGTGTCGTCTGCAATAAGAGAGGTTGTAAACATGGCTTCAATGTTGGAGTGTGAATATTTTTATGTGTTTCAAAGTCTCTCAGTTGTGTTCATTTGGAAGTGTACGGTCAATCAATAATGCAAAGGGTATGTGTGAGTGTGTGAATTAAAACAGTCAATTATTATAAACCTCATCTAATTTGCAATATGTACAGTTTATTAAACCCTTATTCGCTACAGATCTCGACAAAACATACCTATTATTATAGACTGTGGATACTGTGGTGTGGATGTCGGCAACGGAAGCTTTGATGGTTTTGCACTCGTGATGGGTTTCATAGTACTTATGGCTGGTGTTGTTTTACCGGAATCTCCGGGGACTAATGATGACGAAAAGCCATCAGTGGAACTTATTGATACTGTCCCAGAATCATTTGATGAAGCAGAAGTTGACGGGATGGCAGAAGGCGTCAAAGATGCCACAGTAGAATCCTCACTTACTGATGTAGTAGAAGGGTTAGCAGAGGGAGTCGAAGATGTCACAGTAGAACCCTCACTCACTGATGTAGTAGAAGGGTTAGCAGAGGGAGTCGAAGATGTCACAGTAGAACCCTCACTCACTGATGTAGTAGAAGGTATGGCAGAGGGAGTCGAAGATGTCACAGTAGAACCCTCACTCACTGATGTAGTAGAAGGGTTGGTAGAGGGAGTAGTAGATAATATGGTTGTATCCTCAGTGGATGATGTTACTGAGACATGCAGCAGCGCTAGGTATATAATCAAACAGAACACACGGATGCTCCATTTAATTTTTTTACACATGTTGACAATTTTTTTTTCTGGAATGAAAGTCGTAGTCTTGTCACATTGTTATAATGAATACATACTTTGAATACGCCCACTGACACAGAAGTATCAGAATGTTTTTAAGCGCATTCCTTTTTATTTTATTTTTGGTCATTAATGTATGTATCCTGTTTTGATTACTTTTATTGGTAAGTGATGCATTTACTATTATTTAGAAGGCAATTCCATATTCGTAAAAGGCAATCATTGACAAATCACTCATTAGCTATTAATCGCCAGGTGCACTATTCAACATACATTGTAAACGTTTAAGCGTTTAAATCATAGAATTTTTAATATCTGTATTTTCTTTTAATAAATATCATAATTACATAAAAATCCTGCTGTTACGTCCTTGAAAGATTTCACAAGTAAGCTACCATGATGTTGTTGTTGTTGCCTTTAAATTTTGGTTGAGAAACTGCCGCATGCTCGTATGCTAAGTATTTAATGCCAAATAAAATTTAGGAAAAATAACAAAAAAAAGCAAAAAATCCAAATTCTAAAAAACAAACTTGCGCACTTACTTTATGCTAAACTATGTCCTGGCAGTGTCTCACCTCTTCTTTCGTTGCGTCTGATAAAGTTTATGACGCTTTCAATCTTTTAAGTCGAGTTCTTATTGAACAAATACGTGTCCCAGTGTAACATACCAACTACACCCATGTCAAGTAGTTGGTGCGAGGAAAGGTTCACGTGGTCTTATCAGAGGGGCGTGTGTATCTGTGTATATGGATGAATGTTTGAGTTTGTGCCACTGTGGCTATGTGTCTGTGTCTGTCCACGTTTGTCTCTGTCACACGAGAGTGAAATCATAACGACTCGTTTGGATTGTTGACGTGATTTAATATCGAACTCTGAACAGATGCATTTTATTGTATGAACGATGAGACAGAATTTCCACAACCGCGATTATAATTGATCACCCTAAATACATGTACAGCAATTGGACTCATCGCATGCGGGTTATGGTTAAATGTTGCGATTAATATACATGTATACTGGATATATATGTAGTTGTGGTTGACAACTCCGAGAAGTGTTAAACTAAAAATCATACCTGGTCCAGTAGATCATAATATACGTGCCATGATAGGGTTCCTTATCGTTGTTTCAATCAAACCATTAAAGCGAAGATAAAATTTTATAGTAATTTTTGTGTTTTTATAACAGCGTCCTATGGGGCGAAACGGCACGTGGTCCAGTGTACATATAACATGTGGCTAATTTTACATCAATATAATTCTTATTTCAGGTACATGTACGATTTATCGCAGATAAATTAGGTATTTTATTTTAAAACAGTGCATTATCATTATTATTATTATTATTATTATTATTATTATTATTATTATTATTATTATTATATCACGAGTATTGCAACATTATTATTGCTTATTAATTTTAAAAGATTTTTCTTGCTAAGAGAAAGAAGTGTATAACTTAAGATATTTTACTAAGGGAAAAGTATTTAAGTACTAAATAATGCACTGTCCACGAGCCCGACATCTTAAGATAATGTGAATACTGTGCATGACATTTTGAATTTGTCACATTCAAACACGGATAAGTTGTACAGCAAACTCATTGAAAATAGCCCTTCAGACAGGGAATCAATTCTTCTGCAATACCACCTCATAGAAAATTGTGTACCTAACAACACAGATAACTCAGTAACACAGGTCAACGATAAATATCGTGTTAATACATCTATGGATTAAATGCTAGTGTGTGTAGGTACTACAGATTATGGCTGTCAACGCTGTGAAATGTAATCCTCAGTTTTATCTAGCATTCTGTACACCGGGAAGTGTTGCACGTACGAAAGCAAATAGTAAACAAAGGATGGTTTCGCTGTTATGTCATTTGGTATTGACACGGGCTCGCTACCCATTATATATATATATATATATAGAGAGAGAGAGAGAGAGAGAGAGANTGATGTAGTAGAAGGGATGGCAGAGGCAGTTGTTGATACCTCAGTAGAATTCTCAGTCGATGATGTAGTAGAATGGATGACAGAGGCTGTTGTTGGGACTTTGGTTGAATCCTCTGTTGATGATGTTCCAGAAGGGATGGCAGAGGCAGAAGTTGATACCTCAGTAGAATCCTCAGTCGATGATGTAGTAGAAGGGATGGCAGAGGCTTTTGTTGGGACTTTGGTTGAATCCTCAGTTGATGATGTTGCAGAAGGGATTGCAGAGGCCGTTGTTGATACCTCAGTAGAATTCTCAGTCGATGATGTAGTAGAATGGATGACAGAGGCTGTTGTTGGGACTTTGGTTGAATCCTCTGTTGATGATGTTCCAGAAGGGATGGCAGAGGCAGAAGTTGATACCTCAGTAGAACCCTCACTTGATGATGTAGTAGAAGGGATGGCAGAGGCATTTGTTGGTGCTTCAGTAGAATCCTCACTTGATGATGTAGTAGAAGGGATGGCAGAGGCATTTGTTGGTGTTTCAGTAGAATTCTCACTTGATGATGTAGTAGAAGGGATGGCAGAGGCAGTTGTTGATACCTCAGTAGAATTCTCAGTCGATGATGTAGTAGAAGGGATGGCAGAGGCAGTTGTTGATACCTCAGTAGAATTCTCAGTCGATGATGTAGTAGACGGGATGGCAGAGGCGGTTGTTGATACCTCAATAAAATCCTCAGTTGATGATGTAGTAGAAGGGATGCCAGAGGCAGTTATAGATACGTCGGTTGAATCCTCAGTTGATGATCTCCCAGAAGGGATGACAGAGGCAGTTGTTGGTGCTTCAGTAGAATCCTCAGATGATGATGTAGTAGAAGGGATGGCGGAGGCAGTTGTTGATACCTCGGTTAAATCCTCAGCTGATGATGTAGTAGAAAGGATGGCGGAGGCAGTTGTTGATACCTCGGTTAAATCCTCAGCTGATGATGTAGTAGAAGAGATGGCAGAGACAGTTGTTGATACCTCGGTTAAATCCTTAGCTGATGATGTAGTAGGAGGGATGGCAGAGGCTGTTGTTGATACCTCAGTAGAATTCTCAGTCGATGATGTAGTAGAAGGGATGTCAGAGGCAGTTGTTGGTACTTCGGTTGAATCCTCAGTTGATGACGTAGTAGAAGGGATGGCAGAGGCAGTTGTTGATACCTCAGTAGAATCCTCAGTTGATGATGTAGTAAAAGGGATGGCAGAGGCACTTGTTGGTATTTTGTTTGAATCCTCACTCGATGATGTTACTGAGACATGCGGTAGCGCTAGGTATACAATCAAACAGAACACACGGGTGCTCCATTTAATTGTTTTACACATGTTGACAATTATATTTTTTCTGGAATGAAAGTCGTAGCCTTATCATATTGTTATCATGAACATGTACTTTGAATACGGCCACTGACACAGAAGTATCAGAATGTTTTTTAAGCGCTTTCTTTTTTAATGAAGAACAGTTTCATTAACTATGTTATTGTAATAGACTTGTGAAAATTCTTTTGTCTATAGCTATATTTATATTAGTCTGATCTTACAATCCAATATTTCATCTTTTTTATTCTATATTGTGGCCATTAATTTTTTTATCCTTTTTTTATCACTTTTATTGGTAATTGATGCAATTATTCTAATTACAAAGGCAAGTCTACATGTATATTCGTAAAAGACTATCATTGGCAAATCACTCATTAGATATTAAACGCCAGGTGTACTATTAAAAAATAAGCTTTTTGGCGTTTAAATCATATAATTTTTTTTAAATTTCTGTCTTTTCTTTTAATAAATATCATAACTACATAAAAATCTTGCTGTAACGTCCTTGATAGATTTCACAAGTAAGCAACCGAGTAAGCTGTGGTCATTACCTTGAAAATTTGATTGAGAAACTGTCGCATGATCGGGTGCTTATATTAAAATACCAAATAAAAATTTGAATAAAAATGGCGAAAAACGCGTAAACTTGAAATTAACTTCAAATTCCAACAAACAAACGTGCGCACTTACATTATGATGTTAAACTGTGTCCTGGCAGTGTCTCACCTGTTCTTTCGTTGCGTCTGATAAAGTTTATGGCGCTTTCAATCTTTTAAGTCGATCTCTTATTGAACAAACACGGGGTCCCAGTGTAATATACCAGCTACACCCATGTCAAGTAGTTGGTGCGGGGAAACGTGCGCGTGGTCTTATCAGAGGGGCGTGTGTTTCTGTGTATATGGATAAATGTTTGAGTTTGTGCCTCTGTGTCTGTCTATGTGTTTGTGTCTGTCCACGTTTGTCTCTGTCACACGAGAGTGAAATCATAACGACTCGTTTGGATTGTTGACGTGATTTAATATCGAATCCTGAACAGATGCATTTTATTATATGAACGATGAGACAGAACTCCCACAGTCGCTTTTATAATGTACCATTCTAAATACAGCAAAATACAGCAATTGAATTTACTGTTTTATGGTGAAAGAAATGTTGCGAATTTTCTATAATGGATATATATGTAATTGTGAGGTTGACAACTGCGACAAGTGTTAAACTAAAAATTCATAGATCATATACGTACCATGATAGATGTCCTTATCGTTGTTTCAATCAAACCATTAAAACGAAGATAAAATTTTATAGTAATTTTTGTGTTTTTATAACAGCGTCCTATGGGGCGAAACGTCACGGGGTCCACTGTACATATAACATGTGGCTAATTTTACATCAATATAATTCTTATTTCAGGTACATGTACGATTTATCGCAGATATGTTAGGTATTTCATTTTAAAACAGTGCATTATTATTATTATTATTTTTTTTATTATTATATCACGAGTATTGCAATATTATTATTGCTTATTGATTTTAAAAGATTATTCTTGCTAAGAGAAAGAAGTGTATAACTTAAGATATTTTACTAAGGGAAAAGTATTTAAGTACTAAATAATGCACTGTCCACGAGCCCGACATCTTAAGATTATGTGAATACATTGTGTGCATGACATTTTGAATTTGTCACATTAAATCACGGATAAGTTGTACAGCAAACTCTTTGAAAATAGCCCTTCAGACAGGGAATCAATTCTACTTCAATACCACCTCATAGCAAATTATGTACTTAACAACACAGATAACGCAGTAACACAGGTCAACGATAAATATCGTGTTAATACATCTATGGATTTAATACTAGTGTGTGTAGGTACTACAGATTACGGCTGTCAACGATGTGAAATGTAATCCTCCATTTTATCTAGCATTCTGTACACCGGGAAGTGTTGCACGTACGAAAGCAAATAGTAAACAAAGGATGGTTTCGCTGTTATGTCATCGGGTATTGACACGGGCTCGCTACACGTGTATGAACTGTCATCCGGTTTTCATTCTTCCAAGAAAAAATATATAATCCAGTAATGTTATCTAAGCGGTGGCTGGGACAGACCTGTACCTGCCGGTGTAACGTGACAGAGAGCCCCCATGACAGAGAGTCCGCTTCCCATTCATTTGTACAGGTGTGCCAATTAAGCCCTAGATTTTGACTCACTTAGGTCAGACTAAGACTGGGTTCCCATCCCTAGATCGATCTAACTGGATCGACCCATCTCCAAGGGGTTTCTCGCTAAATTGCTTTTAACTTAAACGGCCTATATACATGTACGATCTGGCACGTCTACTGAAGCCCCCTCTAACAGCTTAAGTGGGTGTGCGAGACAGCTAAGCCGCTGAACTTTATACCAGTTTAGTGAGAATCCCCTGTTTACGATCCAAAGTTAGTACAATAGTCTCTGGGAATAGTCTCTTACCCTTCCCATTATATATATATATATATATAGAGAGAGAGAGAGAGAGAGAGACAGGGAGGGCTTTCTTTACACGGACCCTCAAAACCGTTACACCGGAACCCCTTGTTAATCTGAGTCATAATGTCCGCGTTCAAAAAAAAAAAAAAAAAATATATATATATATATATATATATATATATATATATATATATATATATATATATATATATATATATATATATATTGTCATAACAAATCACGTTTAAGCACCGACCCCCGTGAGAATTTAAGACTCTTTGGTTGTGTTTAAGAATTAAGCCTAATTAAACAATCACTATCCTTTGTGCTTATCGATTAGTTACTGCGCCAAGCACAGCAGAAATGAAAAAGAGGTAACTGTCATGACTGAGATGGTTGATCACTAAGCACAGAGATTATATTAAAATCAATGCAGCATTGGAATATATCATCCTGGTTCCCTAAGAGTGTTATGAACTGAAATTAAAGTATCAACATTGCACGGCTTCCACATAATGTATTTTCAAGGGCCAGATCATTTACTTTAGATTTGGTGGTCACATTGTTAAAGAGCATACGTTTGTACGTGGGAGACCGCTGCATGTGGACCAGTCTTAGAAATCTTGTGATTTCCGCAGCAGGCTCTATAGATATACTGCCTGAAGACAATTTGACTATTCGATCAGGTAGTTACCTATATTTTAGCAGTCATTTTGTTTCTGATTTTAGGGGCGATAAATTTTGCCGTTGGTAGAGTACCAAGGAATCATTATGTCGAACATTATGTCGAAAAATCATCAATTTAGTGAGGGTCCAAAATCTACAGAGATTGAAATTTGCCTTTTTGAATCAGCTTTTTTTTCTTTGCTAGATGTTACTTGGAGCTACTTTAAAATAAAAAAAACCTAAAAGTTAATTATCATAAGGAAAAGTGGTACCATATGCAGAAAAGAGACAAATCGAAAACATATTATTATACAGTGTTAGAACATGTTATTTTCATGACATAAAAATATTGATTGTCTTTTCTCTTCCAGTACAATATAAACAACAGATAAGAAATGTATGTGTCAACATGTCAGCTTGCATTTCGCGTTTAACGTGCGCTTGAAGAAATATATTGGTCCGATAAATGTTCGCACCAAAGTAAAATATTTGAAAGCCAGAGTGGCGAAGGTCGTGTCAGTAAACAATGCCTAAACCAGGGTAACAAGTTCTGGATATGCAAAAAAAATTGTTCCTGTTTTAACATCTCACTCCGTTGAAACAGCCCAGTGGCTCCCTCTTTAGGGGCACCTAGAGCACGTGCCACGCGCTAGCCTCGACACTAAGAATGACACGCATTGATTCCAGCTTGTTTATCCCATCCAAATAACCTGATGTACGTCATAATCCGCCCCCTGGCGGTACAAAGTAAAACTACACTCGTACTAGTACTTATACAATTGTAACGAATTATCATATTAATAAAGGCACCTTTGTTTGCAATCACACGGACAAATTAGGCACGTCGTGCAGTAGTTGTTCTTTCTCAGATCCACTCTCACTGGAAATAGAATCACTGCTGTCTGAGCGACACTTCCGAGAAAATTCCGTGTGATATCCTGTCTCGGTGCCCTTGGTGTCACGTGTGAGCAATGGCGAGATCGATCCGAGCATTATGACGTCATTTTCAGGCCGCAGACTCCGCGCAGAGTCGCTCGGATCTGTTTTAAATGAGCTTCGGGATGCGCCCTGAGAGTCGCAATTTCTGCTCTTATAACTGTGGCTACTACTGGTGGATGTTCTATAACTGGCGTTTATTACGCACCTCTTTCTCCCGTGAGGGGAACCCTTTCGAGTCGGACGATATTTAGAATTGATCATCTGCTGCGTGTTCTCTCCACTGATAAGATCATTACTTCCAAAATCGGAATTAAAATCTGCTTCTTTATTAACTATATCTGGATGGAAATGTGCTTCTTTTTTCGGAATAATATCTCCAGGGTGTGGATGATGTTTCCATGAAGCAGGCTTGTGTTTGCTGACCACTACGATGGACATGCCTGATGGAATGTGCCGTGTTGATCGCCTCTCTATGCCCCACGCTTTCAGGCGCTCCCAGGCTCTGCGCAGCTCGTTCTGAACCTCATTGTTCAAGAAACAGAACAACAGGGCCACCACAAACCCCTGGAATAAAATTAATATCAAAATAAAATTAAAAATCGAGAATGGTTCAACTGATTTACAGCACGTTAATGCCTAAGTTTACATCACTAAGCTCTGAAGCTCACAAGATAACGCGTTATATTTACTGTGGACTTGTTGAATGCTCAAATGCGATAGGTGCGATCTGAAACGCATCCAACTGTTATCAGTAATGATGAAAGAGCTTGTGATATCTTACCAGAAATGACGTGAAGAACATCTCCAGGTAAAGATAGGCCACCTCCACCCTCTGATCAAGGTGTTTGTCGATGAAGTTAAAGCTGACAAACAGCACATAATGTACCCCGAACAGCGGTATGAGCACCAGGGTGGTTCTGGCCAATTTCCTGAAGAATTAACAGAACACAGTTGGCAAGGTCGGCGTAACTGAGCTCATGAGGTGTCATTTCAATCATATACACAGCAGGAAATGATTGAAAAAAAATAGTCTGACAAAACCAAACTTATCCTAGGCATTTCCAAAAGGAACGATTTATATGTGGATTAGAGGGAAATGAGAAATGATTATCGCAGAAAACTTGAATCAACTCACTTATATCTGTTTCTCTTTGCCTGCTGTGACGTGCCTGCCTTTAGCTTGGCGCAGAGGACTCGCACTATATTCACAAATATAGCGAAGTTGATCTAACAAAAAAAAAAAAAAAAAAAAAAAAAAAAAAAAAACAGACCACATATGTTTAAAATGAGAGGTGATATTTCATTTGCATACTTAAATTATGTACTACTCGTCTATTAATTTACTCCTTTCCCAGTTATAAAACTGTTCTGACGCAGGAGAACGTGTGTCCGAACGAACTGGAGATGTGTGGTGTGCGGTTATGTGTGTATGCATATATGTATCTATGCATGTGCGCATGTAAGTATATATGAGCATATTAATGTGCGTGTAAAGAGATCGTATATGTATTTTTGTGAACGCATGTGTGCTCGTGCTCAAGCATGTACGCACGTGCGACTTACTAGGCACATCACGATATTCGGTCCCCGCAGCAACCAGGCAAAGTGTTTATTAGTCTGAGTATTCCAACAACTGAAACGAAATAAGCACATTACATCTGCGTGTATCTTTCTTCTCAGGCAATATAAATTAACTTTGTTTTTATCATTCCTCTTCCTTAGAGATATTCAGCTTAGTCGCCAAAAACAAGTATTGCCTAATTAACTATCCACTGAATTCTACAAAGTATCGAATTGGAGCACATGGGATACTTGTTTGACAAATTAGTTATACAGAAAACATTCCCCATGTTATTTTCATTGCATTAAGCATGGAAACAGATACGCGTAAACTTTCCTCCCACAAGGACATAAATCGATTGATGGAATCTAGATTATGGACATGCAAACACCAAAATATTGCAAAAATAATAATCGAATGAATTAGAAAACATTCTGAAGTCACCGGCGTGTAAATAAAGGAGGCTCTTTGAAATTCCTTGAAAAACAAGCGTTCTGGATGCGCTTTGTGTATGGACGGTCGATCTCGCGCGTCATTTCCCATTGTGCCTCAAGACGAGAACACCTACCAAAAGCCATAACGCGACCATGCATTCACGCGCAATAAATAGATCTGGACTCAATGCCTTGTTTTGTTCATCAATTGCTAATTTAGAGCCAACGGGTAACGGAAGGTAATGAGTTACGCTCAAAAGTTTCTCTTGGCTTTTTCAATTAAGAAGCATGCTGAACTGATTTAAAGAAAACACTTCTAGACGCTCCACTGGTCGTATAGTGGCAATTAAGCGTATGTACACGTTATTTTACGCTACAAGTGAAGTGATGCGTCAGTGCTGACAATCGTTATCCCTTCAAAACGAATAGATTGACATGCATTTGAAACTTTATCGATCAAAAGCTGTGTTTTTAAATGGTCATACTCAAGGGGGTTGAACTCCCAAGAAGAATGTACGTTGCGCTCGTTGAAAACCCTGATATTCTTTTCTTTCTCACAAACAATACACTTTAAATATCTCAACGTATTTCTTCTGAGGTTCAACTCCCTCGATATTTGCCGGATATATTAGCCATCTTTTAAATCATTGGCTTGGCTATATATTTATTTTTATCGAGAATAAAAAGTAGAAATTTCTGTCTCGTTTTCAAGGCAACGAAATCTTTACGCAAAGCTAAAGAGTACAAAACTTTACCGATATTTTGTTCATAAAATTTGGGCTGGCCTTCCCCCTCCTCCAAAAGCCAGTTTAACGCCGAGCTAAAACTGGTAAAGGAAGTTATTGGTATGCAGTAAAGATCGTTTTCACTCATACATTCAGCTTTATATTGCAAATGTCATTGGTGCTGAGGCATTGGGTTGTTTTATTACAGTACGTAATATCACAGTCCCCAGCAAATGCTGCTGTTGTCGATGTTAATCATATCTTTTCTTGGGTCTGTTTGCAGAAGGGTGAGTGTCTGTGTGGTTGTGTGTGTGTGTGAGAGAGAGAGAGAGAGAGAGAGAGAGAGAGAGAGAGAGAGAGTTTTATGTATGTAGGTAGGTGAGAGGGATAGAGAGAAAGATAGAGAAGGACGACATATAAATAGCAGTATCGATCATAATCCTCCTGACCTCACCATGCTTACTGTCGCGTATTAGGAAAGGGAATCTTTACAAAGGACTAGCAAAAATAAGTCAAATGATTTAAGAAATCCTTTGTTGCGTCAAATGCCAATTGCCATCCGTCTCTGGGAACCCAACAAGTGTAACTTAATCTATAATGCTTCACTTCAAGGTCACGTCGCAGCTGTCTGGATCTGGGGAGAACATATTAATTAGCCACTTTTTCATTTGACTGACGGATGGTATTTCCCATACAACAGTTGCTTCGTTTTGTTGCAATCTTCTCTGCTGTACAACGTTTAGGCTGCGAGGGTTGATTTTAGCAGCATGGTGACTTTGGTGAATAATATGACGGAGTATTAAACGATCTAAATGATGTAGCACTCAGTGAACGGTTAAAACGCGATCCACAGGCACACACGTGCGCGCACACACACACACACACACACACACACACACATACACACACACAGAACACATGCACACATACATGTATACAGACACGCACACACACACACATACATGCACGCACACACAGATATATATATATAAAACAATTTACCTTTATGTAACATACATTAAAGACGTATTAATACGTACTATATATCATCAAACGTTGCCTTCAGAACTATCCATGGGATTATAAATACCAGAGGGCAGGCTGAAATGAAAAAAAGAAAGATTTAAAAAATGCAAAACACCGGAAATGAGATATAATGTATAGGAATGAGCATAAAAAGAAAAAGGATGCGTTTTTCCTCTTAAGCCTCTTAAGTCCGAATAAACATTAATATCCACGAGGCGTAGACTTTATTCTCCTAACAAATCAATACGGCACTTTTCAACATAAATACAACGTGCTACAATATTATATTCGTATATTCAAATGTCAATCCTTATATCCATATGTGGTAATGTTTCTAAAATTAAAAGACGGTCCTAATTAAGTGATTTTAAACATGAACTGCACACATCATGGTTCTTACAGTCACTGTGACAAAGGTAATCTAGCTACGTCAAGTTCCAAGTATTGTTAGGCCGATATGGACACCAGACTCGCTCGATAGTTCACACCTCTAAATCTATTTTGTAAGGCGCATTGCAGTATTTAATACCGATATATGTCTCGCCTTAGAATATGTTTTAAATGTCATTGTATTATCCTAAAACAGTGAATGTAGCACAGTTGATTTATTATTTATAAGGATGTCTAAAATTATGTTTAAATCCAGATGTTGTTGAGTAAAATTCCTGTTCGGTACGTGTCCCTGGCTCTGCTATTGTCTGGTAAGTGCTATAGGATATAACCAGTTAGTATCACGTCACCTGAATTGACCGCGAGACAGATCAGTTACATAACAGTAATATCCCCTTCCTGTCTATCGATAGCAATTATCCGTTTAGGAAGACGGCGTTCGAATAAACCTGTTTATTGGTTTCGGGCTTCAAGGGCCATCATATCGACCACGCAAGTGGGAGGTTGACCAACTGACCGACGTGAGGAATATCGCAATACCCTAGCAACCATGGGATTGAGACTAAAGATTGAACTATTAACCTGTACTGGCTCAACAATAAGAAACCCAATGATTGTATTCACAGAGAAAGACCCACAAGGCAAATGTCGCTGTAGGAACAAACTACTAGTGACCATATTGTGTTTTCTATTTGAAATTTGCTTCCCTCCCCCATCTATAAATGCTTTTTATTCAAAAAGTTTAAAAGCAAAAACAAAACAAAAATGTCTGACTGTACCCATCCTGCACACGGTCGTATTAATTTCTTGGGAAAATTGCCGTTAACCCCAGGAAAATTCATTTTTTGGCCAAAATGAACAGTTTTTATCCTTTCATTATATTGTACCACCTAATACTTACTCCATCCACACAGCATATACCACTTAATGACTTCTTTTTCAGAGCAGACGCTGACAAAGATGATCATGTGGAGATAGACACCCTCCATAAGAATCCAGGTGTAGTTGGCTCCTATGACGTAATGGAATATTGTGAAGAGAAGCTTGCATTCCCAGTGCTGAAAAGGTGAAAAAATGAAATGACATATCAGAAAGAATCCGCCTATAATTGTTAATTTAATTATTATGATTTCACTGTACATTAAACTGCAAATAGCCGTCCATACGCCGTTTTCTTATACCATACGCATGACTTACTGCATCAGTTATTGAATGCACGGCTTTGGAGATACTTATATACTACCCTACCAAAGATATGTCACCCGTACCTCAATTATGTACATTGTGTACAGAGAGGTATCCATAATTTTAGTTTTACTATTAAATAACAAATATGCAATCGACCATCATGTAAATAGTGGATGTGAGTAGTAGAGCACTGACCTACTTAGAGTAACCATTGAAATACTCCAAAACCAAATGTTTTTAATATGCAGCTCCTAAGTGAGAGGGATACATTTTTTTTTACCAAGCAGTTGACATACAGGGGTAGGAGGGTGTTTTGACCCTCCGATTTGCAAGGAGGTTTGGTTGTTCCTAGACAACCATTCAAAGGGTTAGATATCATAACCAAACAGGCACATGGGCAAGACTGCCTGGGTAAGGTCAACCGAAGGAAACCACACCCAGAGATGAGAGAATGTTAATAAGTCTTCTTCGTAGAAAACGTTTCACGACATTTAGGAACTTGACTACAACATTGCACTAGAACAGAGCAAACCAAGTTTCTGTGCTTACCCTCAGAAGACGTCTGTACAATCGCCATTTTTGGCAGAGATCCCCACCAGGAACCGTTTATTTCGTGGCAGATGGTACACCGGATATCTGGCATGGACACCAGCCAATACTGGGCATTGATATAATTCTCAGAATTTAAGGACGCGTAAGGGTTTTGAGAACAGCTGGTTTCAAGTATATTTTCTATTTTCTGCGAACCTTACCATGGAAAGGAAACTTAACTTTTGTTAAGTTATAATGTAGAGAATATCTTTGGAATCCATGATCACCTATTTATTTTTAGCATGGAATGCGACTCCACGTACATCCAATGCAACAGTAGGCTGGTTATGTGCGAACCAGATCCAGACCCCCCCCCCCCCTCCATGGTCAGCTCATTCCAGAGATCAACACCTCATTACGAATGCATAGGATATCCTTAGAAATAAATAACTGGAGGGTAATTCTGCAAACAAAAATGATCTCATTCTATCTTTGCAAAGTATGGGACGCCATCACTGCACATCACTGCGCTACCAAACTTTTTGAATCCACGCACAGACGCGACAGGTGCGTCCTCCAATCCAGAGAATACTGTAAAACATTAAAATTCGGCTTTGATTTTTAATATGGTTCGTTTCTTCACTGGTAGTACAATTAGTAATTTTCATGAAAAAATCCTTTTAGAAGTTGAACCAAGAACCTTGGTGGATTAAATGATTTTCTGTATCACTTTACGCATTGCGTTAGGGGTTACACTTTTGGTAGGGGAGGATAGATAACGCATGGTCTGATTGTATGTCTGCGTTGACTTTCTATAACCGGTCCGTTTTCAAACAATAATTCAGAGACACCATACAAATCTTGTTACTCGCTTGGAATCTATTTAAAAATGCATTACAGTAATATTAAAATGAATAATATATATATATATATATATATATATATATATATATATATATATATATATATATATATATATATATATATATTCATCTAATATGAATCTCTTAGATTAAAAAAATTCGCCAAAGCAACGAACAAAATATTGCAAGCTAGAAAGCTAATCTATCGCCATTTACGCTAATCGTTACAGTAAACAGAAACCTCATTCCGAGTGAATTAGTAGAAATAAAAACCACAGATTCCTCAGGCTTCAATTCACACTTTGCGTGCTCCGGGAACCTGTTTTTTTATCTCCAGATACAAGTGCAATCCATTTATCGGGTAACCTGATGCGCATTTTATTTTTACAAAATAGAACCCGCGGTTAAACGCTAACCATCTCTCTGTGCGGATGAATGAACGCAAGGCAGATTTTTTTGGTTAAAGGTATCATATTCAAGATTTTCTTTAAGGCTAATTTCCCTCGAGAAAATTAGCCAATTCCTCTCGCTTACGCAAGTACTACTGCTCTATCCGTCACTCCACTTTTAATCGATTCTTTATGTCATTTCCAATTAAATACTTAAGTTCTTATNGGCCAGTTTAGCGGTACAGGTGAAATCTGACCTCAATAAAGAAAGCCACGCTGTTTCAGTGTTTTACCCAGAAACTGTCATGGTCCCCAATTCATTAGAGAAACAGACTAGGCTGCTTTGCTGTTTACAGTGGCTTCCTCAGAGGTCGCCTGGAATCCTAACCTGCTGAAATCAGTTTGGTGTTCGCGAAGAGCCTTGAAAAACAAGTTTTGGTGACAATTTGTTCCTCATTCAAAACGGACTGGGTGGTTTTGGTTAAATTGCAGTAGCATATCCTGAAGGACAGTGAGTCCTATACACTGGTGGTAAGACGTCGATGCATTGGGCTTGGTCTCTGTGTAGTGCCTCAAACTGAGCATAACTCCATAAAACTGTGTAGACCGTTCCGTTTGACAAAATAATCTGTCTGGCAATGTCTGTGTTTTTCGCGCCATTCTGGCACAGCTTAACAGTTTTGTAAAACGCTGCTTAACTCATTTTACGCACTGCAAAACCGACCGCTGGCATGCAAAATTTCAAATTCTTCTATGCAGTATTTGCCGACATATGGATACTTTTTTGACAGAACCATCCTTCGCCAAAGCCAAGCTTTGACTAGCCCGAAGGAACACTGCCCAATTAAATTACTGCATATTACACAAGGCAGCAGTGCAACAGACTTGGTAGTCAGTTAATTGGCAGCGACACACCTGACTTTACACTTTTCCAGTCAGATGTCTTATATGAAATCTGAATTTTTTTTTAAAAGAACGCATTTTTACCTAGGTATACCTTCAAAACTGAAATATTCCATATTAAATGTCAAGTCTGTAATATAATATAATATAATATAATATAATATAATATAATATAATATAATATAATATAATATAATATTAGGGAAAAGGCTAAATTTCCAAGTTAATCAGATGTTTACAAATAATCAACTATATTTTAAATTTAGAAATTAATAGCGTGCGTAGTCAAGTGTTCCCGGAAATGTTTGTCAAAAAAGCATGTTTCAGGGATCTTTATCGTAAATGGTTACCACTTTCAACTTTTCTTACAGCTTAATCCGTGAATGTCTTTTGTACAAAGTTAACAATACCTTTCATTCAATGACCTCCATATGTTTACCTACCTGAAGAGTAGCATTATCACCAAGGCTAAGACGAGAGCCAGCAGTGACGTCCCATACCCGACACTGTACAACAGCTTTATGTTGTTGAGATGTTTCTGGAAAACAAGGAAACCAGCCATTGCCTTCCTTGTAGCAGTATGACATACGGTTTATTTCACTGATAACGAAAAATCTGATAACGAAAAATCGGAACATTACTTTGATATGAAACTACGTTCGACTTTGTTTTTATTATTATTATTATTATTTATTTATTTATTTATTTTATAGTAATGTGGTGTGCTGAGGTTGTGACTACTGAAACAAACAAACAAACAAACAAACAAAAAATACACAAAAGAACTTAAACAGTTGTTGTCGCTCACTGTCGATCATTATCGTTACTGTTTGAAATACTGGTAGGAAAGAACTAAGGTAATCTAAGGCACAGGCAGTAACATGTCGAAGCTACGACAAGCTGTAAAGGGCACGAAATTCAAAGAAAAATACAGCGTGAACTCTGCAGTGCTGAAATGCGTTTGAAACCAAGTGACAAACAACACTGCTACAGAAGCAAAGGAAAGGGTTATGGTATAAACAAAAGTGGCAGAATCGATGATAGTTCTAAGAGTTCGCTTTTAAGTCATTAAGCGGGTTTATTAGTGGATAATGTATTAGAGTGCGATGCAACGTAACACATTAACCGAATTTTCCTCTAAATGTTAGGCTATAGCAAGTCACCACCAGTTAACGACTACAATAAAAGGTTGACACTTAACCGTTTTTTCAAGGGTGCTCAAGGAATTTCCGTTCTTTCGGTAATTCCGCGTTCTCATATACGTACGCAGCTAGCGTTCCAAATATCTTAAGTGCTTCGTGATTGAGTTTTGATCTCAAACAGAGTTATAAATGCTCAATTATTCCCTCAAAGGTTATTTTGCTTTAAAACATTTACCCTAAAACTGTCGTCTTAGACTTTTGATGCCTTAATTCCCAAAAGACAATATCCTACAGTGTACACTGAGCATGAGCGGCTTAAAAGATAGGTGTCAGTCAAATCCCTAGAAAAGTATTAATTGCAGCGAGAGACCTTTGCATTTAGTCGTCGAGAAATTACTTGATTATACAAACATCATTGCATACACACTCAGCAAAGAAAAAGGAATCAACAAAATTAGGTGTTAAAATAATACAAAATGGAATGTTTGTCAGCTGATCATAGCAAGGGCTGATGTTGCCATTATGACATATTCTTCTGGTTAGCCTCAACAGACATACAAAATTAATAACGGCAGTGTGTGCCCCAGGAACACAAGGCTCAGAGTATGTACCAGAACTACAGTAGCTTGTATATAATGCGACTGTATACAAACATCGACCCTCTATCAAAAGGAGGTTGTTGGTCAACTGAAATGCATCGGGTCGTTTTAAAGAAAAGCTTCATGGGATGCCTACTAATATGTTTATATTGTACCCTGGTGTCATTTCATTGTGTATGCGTCATTCGGTATTTTATTCACTGTACCATCCACTTCAAATTTACTCAGGTACAGATTCAAACTTTAAACTTGTCAGTTATAAGGTTAGTTTTAAGACATCGTAATTGTTGCTAATAACCCCATTTGGGTATGCTTGACCAAACTGAGTTATTCTGCGTCTTTGTGCACTTCAAATAAGTTAAAGCTAAGGCAGGCAAATATTATCACGCCAGTACACTAAAGGTCTTCTGCAATGCTTATCAGTGTAAACATGTACAGCACACCACTGAACGCAGATATTAAAAGAATAACATACATTGTATCCGGCGTGTTTAAAGGGGGGATAATTACTCGTATATGAGATTCCAATTTCCATAATAAATACACAGCGACACATAGAAATAAAATAGATTCCATTTTGCCACGGTTATCGCAATTATTCAGAAAATTTTGCATGTCATGGGACAATTTGGGCCGTCACAGATGGCTACCCTTTATAACAATCTCTTATGAGATTATACCAGGAAAACGCACCTTTCTTTATAGAACATTCGACTAACTTTGAATGTCGGAACGGGTTCACTGACCACTGGAAATTATGAATAAATTTCCGTTTACCCCAGAAAAATTGAAGACGCAATTGCTTTCCCTTTTAGAATCGGAAATGTAGCATTTGAAACCAACTTAACCATACGTGAAACGTTCGTGGCAACACCGGTATGTTCGTTTGGCCGTCTTATACTGCATACATGATTATTTTCCACAAAGGCTGCTGCATATTACATCATTGTAAACCTGGGCGTACGCTGTAGTCAACGCCTGAGGAATGATTCAGGATGTTTCCTGTTGTTTTATTAGAAGATACTCCCATCCATCTCATGGCGGATCTTCCAGACAGAAAACACAGTGTCCTGGCTTTGATTACCTAGGGGCCTCAGCAGCTCTCCCACTTTAAACATCTTTTATAACGATTCTCAGAAAATTAACAACAGAGAAGACCCTGATGATTTATCTTTAAACCAGTAATAGAGTGCATCGTGTCAGTGTTTGTTCTGTTTGTGAAGGGCCATCTGCTTACCACTATGGAGCAGTGACCAGTGGGTTGCAAAATATATCAGTTATCGGCTGCCTTCTTCACTGTATGCGTTCTTGGGCACAAGTTCAGTCGTTATCGTTTATCTTTAAATATGGATGTTACAGTAAATCTATTAACGTTACTTGAAGCAGACTTCCAGACGAATAAGCAATAGGCATATGTTTTTATTCATTCAGGGAACCCGACCATGGAACCGGAGTATTTAACTATTCTTTTTATTGATGTCACGAGCTGAGACCTGTATGTGTATGTGAGCAGGGGCGGATCCAGGATTATTTGAAGGAGGGTCCGTGGATGCAAAGCCACCCCCCGTTTGGCGTATTTTAGAGGGCGAACGACGCTTTTAGATACGGTTATAAACTATGATTTAGCTAGTCAATATTCTAATTTCACGAGGAGATCATTGGTGTGATTTTTTTTCAGAAATCCGCCACTGTGTGGGCTTAATCAATCCACCACATGCACGTACATG